CCTCATCATCGCTGCCTAAACCCCGCGTGTCCTTGCCACATACGCGAGTCCCGCGCACGCCACCGGCTCCTGCTTCGCCCGCACAACTGCCTTGCGCCTCGTACGTCTCCCCAGCGTCCGAGGCCCGCCCTTCGACACCACCGTTGTCAACCGTGCATCCAGCGTGCGTCGCGTCTTTGCCGCCCGACGCCCGCACGTCACCACCAACTCCCGTTGTCCGTTTTTTCGTCGCTGGTGCATCATCATCGGTCGTGCTCATGCGTTCATCGTCTCGTTCCGTCCAACCGCACGCATCAAGGGCCGATGCGCGCCACTCGCCCACTAGCCGATCACCGCCGACCTTCTTGTCACAGGGGTACGGAACCCACTTCCGTATCATTCCCCTCCTCTTCGAGACTTTCCTTGTCCTCAAGGATCTATCCACGACCATCCACCCATCCACACCGTATTGTGCGTACGCCTCCTCCTCATGGCCCGCTTCGACTCCTTCGGCCTCGATCAAAACTTCCCCTTTGACATCGCCCATCGCCTCGTCTACATCCTCGTCCGTGAACTCGTGGGCGAACAACAGTTCCTCGTACTCGACTTGGTCGACCTCACACTCGACCGCCTTGTCTTGAATATAGCCCGATGGATCAAACTCAAACAATGGCTCTTCTTCGATGAACTCCTTCATGATTTTGAGTTGTCTTTCATACTCCTTCTTTTGCCCGTACATCTCCTCCAAATAATCTTGCTCCCAAGGGGTTAATTCCCTCTCCAATCCTTCCAAGTATTCGAGATCTTCTTGATCCAACTCAACTAATGGCTCGAACAACATTTTTTTTTTTTTTTTTTGACTCTAGAAATTCGAAAAATAAATGGGAAAAATTCGAAAAATTCGAACCCCCAACAAGACTCAAAAAATTGAAACAAAAAAGAAATTCGGCCCCTCAACAAAAGGTAATAACTGAAAAAAAATAAACAAACAAAGGACTAACAAGTTGACACTTTTTTTTTTTATTGAAAAATTCGAAATAATTCGAAAATTTCGACTCAAAAGAAGAAGAGAAATTCGGCCCCTCAGCAAAAGGCAAACCGAAAAAAATAAAAAGATAAGATAGACAAAATATCGATCAGCACCTCTCAATGAAACCCTCTCAATGAAAGCACCAAT